ATGAGCTGTCAGATGGAACTTCCCTGTCACCTCAACATGGAATTTATTGTTTCATTTCATTAGCACTCTTTACATAATGGTTCATATTTTTTGGTCTGTTCATTACTTGTATTTTTCAAAGGAATCTCACTTGAATCTTTACTCTTTTGCATTTTGTCTCCAGGACAATGTTGGGTAGTGTTACCTCCAGCATCATAACATGATCTAGTGACCTGACACTTTTGTGGCAAAGAATACCTACCAATTCAGAAGCTCTTTGGTTTTCTTTCCATGAAATAGAATTATTTCTTCTGTTCTGTGTATGAGCATATCCTAGCAATCCTGTACACACCCACATAGATGTCTACAAGCCTATGAATTATTCTCTGTAAATAAAAATTTATCTCAATTTCCCTCAGTGTTCATGATTCTCCTGAAAGTGAGGAAGGTCTTTCTGGATCTGTTTAAACAAAATGTCCAGAGACCACCTGGTAGGTAAGGAGCTCACCTGGCTCTGGATGTTGGCTCTGTGTCTTTCCCTCTGTTGTCCCACAGGTCAGCTCACTTGTTCAGTCCTAACAAGAGAGCCCAGGTTTGTCCTGATGTTGAAATACACCCAACTTCTGATGACTCTCCTGTTACCCACATCCATGGAGATAGATTATTTATTATATAATTCACCAAACTAATGTCAAATGCCCAAGTTGGAATACCGCAAACTCTAAGGTATGTTCATGCAATTCAATGAAGGAGAAAGACTTTCAGACACAGGTGTACCTGAAATGATAAATATGTGGGTGACGACTCTGGGCTTGAGTGTCATTGTCCAGCCATGTTTCAGAAGTGTGACCTGTCAGGGAAGAACCAGAGTTCCTTGTGCTCTCAGTGGGGAGGGCTCACAGATGTCCTCTCTTGTTCCCAGGAAAGGCAATTGCACTAATCTTGATGATGAGACTATGCTCCTGTGCTGGCCTATTATAGTTTTTGACTGAAATTGTCACTGTGATCCCCAATCACATCTATTCACACAGAAGTGTATAAAGGTCAGGCCACATTCTCAGCATCACACATTGACACGGTTGGAGATACGTCCCACTACCTTCTCCTGAGATTGCAGACAAAATCCCAAACTTCAAACGTTCACAAAAGGGAAGGTCTCAGATTTTTTTTTTTTTTAATGATGCACTCTCTGGGACAGATATATTCCCTCTAACCATGATGGATATTCCGAATTACAATAAACATTGCATGGATGTAGGTTTGTATAAATTTACTGTGACTAATATATTTAGCTGCTGCCCTAATATTTTGAATAGAGATTTGACAATTTAGATAACCTGGATGTTTGGTTGGTTTCATATAAATCTTCACGGGTAGAACAGCATTGAACCTGTTCCAAAATCTGTCCTAGATCCATGATCACACTCATCTCCCAGACCAGCTCCTTCAGCACATCTCCCTACCTGGAAGAAGAGGACTCTGGGCTTGGTGAGGGGAGGCCCCAGGAAGAGAACTGAGTTCTCAGAGGACACAGCCAGCATCTTCCTCTCAGGGTGAGCCCCAAAGCCTGGACCTCCCTCAACCCTTTACACCTCTCCATACAAAGGCACCACCCACATGCAAATCTTCACTTAGGCACCCGCAGGAAACCACCACACATTTCCTTAAATTCAGGGTCCAGCTCACATGGGAAATGCTCTCTGAGAGTCACGGACATCCTGTGCAAGAACATGAAGCACCTGTGGTTCTTCCTCCTCCTGGTGGCAGGTCCCAGATGTGAGTGTTTCGGGGATGCAGATATGACGGTATGGGAGGCTGTCTCTGATCCCAGGGCTCACTGTGGGTCTCTCTGTTCACAGGGGTCCTGTCCCAGGTGAAGCTGCAGCAGTGGGGCGAAGGACTGGTGAAGCCTTCGGAGACCCTGTCCCTCACCTGCGCTATCTATGGTGGCTCCATCAGCGGTTACTACTACTGGAGCTGGATCCGCCAGCCCCCAGGGAAGGGGCTGGAGTGGATTGGGAATATTTATGGTGGTGGTGGGAGCACCAACTACAACCCCTCCCTCAAGAATCGAGTCACCATTTCAAAAGACACGTCCAAGAACCAGTTCTCCCTGAAGCTGAGCTCTGTGACCGCCGCGGACACGGCCGTGTATTACTGTGCGAGAGACACAGTGAGGGGAGGTGAGTGTGAGCCCAGACACAAACCTCCCTGCAGGGAGGCGGAGGGGGCGGGCGCAGGTGCCGCTCAGGACCAGCAGGGGGC